CCAATCAGCTAGATGTTGCTGGGGCTGCTGTGAGCCAATCATCAGCCGGCAGCTGGAAGTTTGCTAGGGCCCCTTTGGCTGTGGCTCTCAACAACCTTTGATCTGCCAGAGCGACCTGCAAGTGGAAATGGCCAGTACCTGTTTCTAGACACAGACCCAGGTCCCTGATCGTCTACAGTTTTGTTTGCTCTTCCCTCACATTGGATTTCTCAGGGGGCGGTTGGTTTATTCTGCCAACTCAAGGGACCCGGACCCCAGACCCAACATCAGGAGCCAACAGATCCTGAGATGAAGAGCCACCCAAGAGCAGGAAGGAAGAGTTTGGGTTAACCCTGATAATAACCCCTAACACTCTTGGCCACTTCCCCTGACCCTGCCCTGCAAAGTCGGGCCTTGGGCGCTTGATAGAAAACGACCACAGCCATTCCTGTCCCTTTTCCTCCCAATTTCTTTCCCAGTCCTCTCGTGCCTTCTCTGCCCTTCACTGTGGGCTGTTTTTCTCTTCCCCGCTTGGTTTAAACACCTTTTTCTCTCATGGTCCTCTCCAGGGTGACCAGTTCACAAGTCTCAAACCCACAGACAACAGCTCATTGAGGCTTCCTGTGGATCCTTGCAGCAAGTGTGAAGAAATTTAAAAGTGTCAAAATAGAACAACAAACCAGAAACGTAAAGAAAGTACACTTCACACGGAGCTAGGGGGAAGTGCTCTGCCGGGTTGCACGGAGTCATTAATTTGGTATTAACATTTTTGGGGAAACAGTGTTAACTGCCGATGTGCGGGAGAACACAGAGCTGCTGCCTCTGGATGACTTCCCACATATGCTCCTTCTCAGCCATCGTCTCTGTATGTACTAAACCCTGCCAAGCACTTTCTAGAACATACTCATTGCACGGCTTGCTTTTCCATTCACATAATCTTTCCTTGATAGAGAACTGACTTGCACTTTGAAATTCGATGGCGTTGATGAGAAGAGAGCATGCATCTACTCAGGAAAGGAACTATCCGTCTCTAACCCCTGACTCTCCACTCCAGCCCTGTGCATCTGCTCATCTACTACATGCCCACACCACATCTAGAATTTTCCACCCACGCCCACCCAACCCAGGTGCATTTCATGTACACTTCACTCCCACCACATCGGACATATTCCCACCCCAACCCACGGGACTGCCCTGTGCCTGCACAAACACCCATCTCCATCACACAACCCTGTCCCTTCAGCACAGTGGGTCTAGGATTATCTGGCCTCCACCCCGCCCAGCCCACGGGCAGCTTTAGTACACTTCACCATGAGATAGATACAGCGCTTCATCCTAAAGTTACTCCAAGGTTCTTATGTGCTGCTGAATATGTTGGTTTTAGTTAAAATCTCACTCGGATCACAAGAATTCCAAATATGTAATGATGCAGACGGACGCAGTGCAAGTTCACATACATAGGGCCATGAAGAGGGTCTTGGCCAAGAATGATAGGAACAGGAACCACATCTCAAGAGGGGAACATTACAGTTGAGAAAGCAAACCACTTCAAATATCTTAGCAGCAATTATCCACAAATAGTTTAAGTCCTGTTGATCTCCTCTGTCCATTAACGCAGAACTGCCTGAGAGCTTTACTTGGCAGAATTTTTTAAAAAGTTATTCGTTTATCCCATATCCCGCAGTACTTGAAAGCAATATAACTTCAATTCTTTTTTTTTTTATTGTTTATATAACTATGTTCTGGCTGTTCCAAATCTTTTTTGTTTCTGAATAAGTTTGAATCATTGAAACGTCGCTTCATCTTTTTCTCACTATAGTGCCGTGTTTTTCCTCAGGGTTTCTGGGAAAGCCAAATGGAGCTCAGAAGACAATATGGATCTCTGTGTGGGTAAGAACAGAGCTGAATTTTTCTATCTATCTTGGTTTCTGAATCCTGAACTGATGTAGAAGTAATGTCAAGAATGGGAATGCTACAGTATGTCTATTTTTCAAGGGTCCACAAAGAGGGTTCCTGGCCATATAGACTACGTTCCTAGAGAAGACCTGGGGCGGGGGCCGGGGGAGCATCTTGCAAGCCTGAAGTATACACTGTAGGCCTTCAAAGCCTGCTGGACTGGGTTCCTTTATCTCCACTTTCCTATCACTAGGAGAAGGATCCACTGGGACAATGTGGCCCTCCAGGCCTCAGAGCAAGAAGGCCAATTTGCCTTGAGGACCAGGACGGGTCTCGCCCCATGAACTCATCCAAATCTTACTTGGACCTGTATGGTTCAACCCTATGGCTGCAGTGCCCTGCCAGCAACACTATTATCATACAATTTATCATCCAGTCCAGGAAACTTTGGAGAGTGAAAGGAAATGCTATAATTGCTTAGGATAACGGTATAAACCAAGACTGTCCTGGGAGATATGGCCCTGTGTGGAATAGCGTAGCTCTTCCCTTTACTTTTCCTGAGTTTTCTCTTTTTATGCCTCAGAGTGTGCTCCTCTGTTTCTCAAAGTCCAGATCTGGGGCACAAGCCCACGCTCAGGCCACTTTCTCTATTCAAGATTAGCAGGTGTCAATCACACTGGTCTTCAACTGTTCCTCCATACCAGGGTCCTGTCCTAACATAGCTTCTCCTTGGTCACCAGGTGACTACTAGTGGCCTTTTCCTGACCCCCAGGTCAATGGAAACTTTTTTAGGGCATTAATGTTCTGTTTTTAGACCACGGCACAGCCTAATGGGGTCCAGTGGTTTGTAAGCCTTTCTGCTGATAGGATTCAGGGACATCTGTTCTCTCAGTGCTCGTTTTTGAAAAGAATTGGCTTCTACTCTGTGGAGATGGCTGTACCCAAGAGACCCACAGTTCTGGCTAAGCGTTTCTATCTACTCCTTGATTTTTTTATGATTCTGAAAACTAATAAATTTTTGTATATTAGTTATCCTCTATTAGTTTGTCATTTCTGCATAACAATCCCCCCCCCAAAAGAAAACCACAATTGTAGCATAAACCACAATTTATTATCTATGTCTAAACACTGGCTGGAGTGGGCCCGCCTAAGCCCTGCTTGGCAGGAAGGCCCCTCTGGACTTCCTGGTGGGTCTGCTTGGGAGGGGACCCATCCTGAGTCTGCTGTTCACTCTCCTCCTCCATGAAGAGCAGGCTCATCGGGGCAGGGTCTTCTCATGGCAAAGGCAAAGACTCAAGAGAGCGGGAAGCAGTGGTTCACCATGTCAACTAACATCCTATCAACTGAATGAAGTTCTGTGGCCAAACTGAGAATCAGGGGTGGAGGCACAGTGTGGCCCTGGGAGGCCAAGCCAGTCCTTTGCCAAGCCTGGTGTTAACGGTGCAGTGAGGTTGGAGTCTGTGGAAACGGTGCACATCTTTAAATAAGAACCCTATGAGCCGTTCAACTTGGCCTTCACCTACTCTTCTTTCTTTTTCTCTATGACAAGGATGGGACCCAGAAGTGCTTAGCCATTAAGCCACACGCCCAGCACTTTTTTCTTTTTTCTTTTGAGACATGGTCTTGAGAAATTGCTCAGGGCCTCACCAAGTTGCTGAGGCTGGCTTTGAACTTGCCATCCTCCTGCCTCAGCCCCCGAGCCACTGGGATTTCAGGTGTGCACCACCACCCCCAGCTTAGTTTTCTTTTTTATTGTGCCCAAATTCTGGCTTTATCTCGGATGAACACTCCATCAAGTCTTAAGGGATTGGACTGTTTACCTTTCTCTTACTCTTGTGCTTTCTATTACTTTAAAAAAGTTCTCATTCCAGCTCTCTCCTTCCAATAGTCTCTTTCTACATTCGACTCGACCTTGGCCTTGGGGGCTGTCTCCTATGTGTTGAAACAGAGCACTGACTCAGAATGATAGTGTCTTCACCAGCATTAGAAAAAGTCCTTTCTGAGTTTGAATATAAGGAATCACCTCCCTCTAGTACTTCTTATATAGATTTCTTACATAGTGAAAACTCTGGATATTTTTAAATAATTTAAAACGTCAGGTGAAGAGTTTAAAAAGCACTGTGCTAACTGACGTATGTGTGTGTGAAGGGGTCGGGGAGACAGGTGGAGTGAATTGGTTTCCTTGACAACAGGGTGTCCAATCAAATTTTTCCCCAAACTTTACACAAGTTCACACAATTTATCCTTCTTATTTCAAGAAAACTTAAATCATAGAGAATGATTTCAAATGAGGTTGCGGAGATCAAAATTGCAGTATCATCTCTACTCTTTGTTCCCACGGCTGGTGAAAAAGAAAGGTGATGGCATAATTTCTTCATACAAAGCCAATGACTTTTTCTCCTTTAAATAAAGAAGAAGAAAAGCCATGAGACGCCAACTTCTTTGTAAAGGGGTCCTCGCCCAGGTCTCGCGCAATCTGGGGCTGGGGCAAAAGTGGCAGAGCTGAATGAGGCTGTATCTAGGCTCCTTTCTAACTCTAAATAGTACTTTCTTACTGCTTAAATTTTAGCAAAACGGCTTTACAGATTGGGAATGTCAAAGAGGACGACATTCAACAGACAGCAAGGAACCTTCTTTTAGGAAACAATGTGGTTTAAATGACACTGATTTTTAGACTACTATTATTATTAGGAAATAGAATCCCATCTTGTCCTCCGAAAAACTTGAGATAATAGATTGATTCCTCATTGGCCAGTGAAACCTCACACTATGGACACCGTACAAGATCACTGGGCCCTTAGATGATGGCCAGCCCTTTACCCACAGAAGAATATGGGTAGCAAGGGTCTCCTCCCTGCTCCGGACCTGACGGCCAACCATGGTGACTATTTGTGCTTACCATCTGGTGGTCAGGGCAGCTCACTCAGCGGTCAGGGCTCACAAGTAGAAACAGGCTCCACCCCCTTTCCCCTCCCACTCAGTGCAATGCAGGAGAGGGGGACATGGCTGGGGAAGGATTCTGTCAAGAGGGAGTGACATCAGTGTTCACCATCACTACCGCCACCGTCACCACCAGCACTGAGAACAAATGTCTTTACCAAGCATCTAACTACGTATCCTGCTTTGCCAGGCTCTGTGTGGATACCGCCATCCCCAGGGCCTCTGCCTGCTTTGAACTTGCATGTGAAGCCAGGGACTGGTACACAACTACATGTTTTTTTTGTTTTGTTTTGTTTTGTTTTTTAATTCGTGGCACTTGACAAGACCACTTCTGAGTTGAACAGCTGTACTATCGGCCACGGGACACAAAGCAAGCCAGGCTTCACCTAAGCTCAGGATAGCCTCCCGCCAGGTAGTGATCACCTGTGGCCTCTTTCTGGGAAGGATGAGCCCAAATTGGATGGATATCCCTTCCCAAACCTGATAAGGATGATTTCAACGTAATCCTCGGGCATTGGTGACTCAACAGAAACAGGAGAGAGATCAGGCCCCCGCCAATTCGTAATTGGCTTTGTAATCCAGTGGAAAACAAGCCTTTCTTGAGCTGTTGCTATTAATTACTTACGTAGAGACCCAAGCCGGGCTCGTTAGCGACAACTGAAGGCCCCGTGCCAAGCTCCCCTTCGCTCACGGCGCCTGTCTTTGAAGCCCTGGCGCTGCTCTTGTTTGCCTCAGCCCCACTTCTCCTTGCCTCCACATCACTTGGGTTTTGATCACTAGTGTACACTCGGCTTCCTCTTGTTGAACTTGACTTTGATGGCTCCTGGCACCCATCCCCTATGCTGCTCTGTGGCATGCACGTCCCTGGGTCCTTCCACGAAGCCAGCTCTGCTGCGTAATCTACATTCCCCTTAGAACATTAGCTGTGAGCAGGCAAACACGAATATCATGCACAATTCATAAAGAGCAATTGAGAATACAGAGAAGCACACCTGTTCCCGGCCCAACCCTTCGCCACCTCCCCACAGAGGCAAGCTCTGCTGCCCACACTCAGATGGGTCATTTACGACACACATGGTTCCTTTTTTTTCATATTTATTTTTAAATTTTATGTGGACACAATATTTTTCTTTTTAAATTTTTTCAGATGTTAATGAATCTTTATTTTTTTTAGGGCCTCGAACATGCTAGGCAAGCGCTCTACCACTGAGCCCCAAACCCAGCCCCACACTATTCTTGATCTTGTTTTGTTCATTAATAGCATTTGGAAATTTTGTCATATTTCAATCTACTCATTCGTGTTAAATGCTATTCTATTTTTATTAAGGATTTGATTGTATGGATATATCCTGATATATCAGTTGATGATTATCTTTTGCTTTTTCAAACAATACTGCAGTAAATACTCCCACACATACATCATTGCCCTCTGCCTGGGTGTGTCTGTAGGGTCAATTTCTAGAAATGGAATTATTAGGTGAAGGCTATCTACATTGTTTCATTTGGATAAGCATTACTAAATTGCTCTCTAGGGATTATATCAATTTACACCCCATAAATAAGCATAGGAGAGCCACAAGTCCCTTACATGTCTACAGTTAAAATCAGTGGTCACAATTATAACTGAAGTTATAATTTGCACTTTTCTAATGATGAGCAAGTTTGAGAATTTTTTCATATGTTTCAAATCCTTTGTATTCTGTTTTCTGAGGAATCTGTTGCTACTTTTCTATTGGGTTGTTAATATATTTCCAGTTAATTTGTAGAAGCTCTTTACATAGGAACGAAAGTAACCCTTCATCTTTAATATGTGTTGCAAATGTTTTCTCCTTGTGATCATTTGTCTTTGACTTTATTGTGTACTTTTTCTAATAGGAGAACATTTTGTGTTAATGAACTTAATTTTAACAACATCTGTATATCATATCTCAGAAAGGCTCTCTTAATCAAGGATATTACCCCCCCAAAATTTTATTTTTTCTAGGATTTCAGAATTTCATTTAAAAAACTTAAAATGTTTGGGCAGGGGACATAGCTCAGTGGCAGAGAGCTTG